TGTGTGTGTGTGTGTGTGTGTGTGTGTGTGTGTGTGTGTGTGTGTGTATGTTGATGTGTGTATGGCTCAGGTCATTCTTTCCAGAAGAAGGAGGGAGGTTTTGTCCCTTTTTTTTAAGGCCACCTTGGGAGTGAGTTGGGTTAGGTTGGGCTTCTGCTATTTGAGGATAAATTCCCATGGTAACAGAGGGGCCCTTAGAATTCCCAGTATTATTTATAGCAGGAGGCTTAATAGTAAGTCAACAAACATTTATTAAGTACCTATTATTGTCAAAGCGTTGTGTAAGGGATACTGTAATTGAAAAATAACAGTTCTTGCCTTCAAGAAGTTAGCTGTCTTCTGGGGGTATACATTTTGCTCAACTAAATGGGCCAGGGACACAAAGGTATAATAGATGACAATTTATGTGATATTTTGGGGTTTTCAAATTGTTTTGTATATAATTGTATACAATTGTTTTGTATACATACTCACCTTGTGAGGTATGTGCTATTATTATTCCCATTTTACATATGAGGAAACTGAGGCTAAAAGGATACGTGACTTGCTGAGGGCGCACAACTAGCAAGTGTCTGACATGGGATTCAGACTCAGCTCTTCCTAACTAAGGCTAGTGCTATTCAGTATGATACCTAGGCTGCCTTCGGTGAAGCAGATTGAAAGCTAGAATATAATGGCTCCTTGGGGACATCAGTCCAATAATTTAATTTGGGCTGCATGCAGATATGAACCAGTATATATTTTATGAAAGTATTAAACACCAACAGAGGGCTTTATATTTGCTCCCAGAGGTAATAGGGAGCCACTAGGATTTAATGAATAGGGCAGGGTGACATAGTCAGACCTATAATTTAGAAAAATCACCTTTGCAACTGAGTGGAAAATGGATTGGTATGAGGATAGACTTAAGGCAGCGAGATCAGCTAGAAGGCTATTGCAGTAGTCCAGGCTTGAGGCGATGAGGGCCTGAGTATGATCACAGTATGATCACAGTATGAAAGGGGTTGCATTCTAGGGATGTTGTGGAGGGGGAGACTTGGCAATGGACTGAACATGAGGGGTGAGTTGAGTGGAAAGTCAGGATTGACACCAAGGTTGAGAGCTTGGGTGACTTGGGTGCTTCTCTTAACAAACTTCCTAAATAGGGAAGTTTGGGAGTGGGGACGGTTTTGGGGAAAAGATAATGAGTTGTGTTTTGGACATGTTGATTTCAAGACATCTTCAGGACATGCAGTTTGAGATGTCCAGAAAAGGAGCTGGTGTTGAAAGACCTGAAGTAGGAGAGAATAGGACTGGATATATCCATCTGACAATCACACAGAGATAATATTTGGACTCATGGTGAACCCAAGTTCACCAAGAAAGACAATATAGAGAGAAAAAAAGAAGGGGACCCAGAATATTAGAGGGCTTGACATCTAAGAACCAGGAAAGGCAACTGGGAAGGAATGGTCAGACGAACAGGAACAGAACCAGGAGAGACTAGTGTCATGAAAACCTAGTGATGAGAGAATGTCCAGAAGAAGGTGATTGGCAGTGTTAGATGCTGCAGGGAGATCAGAGGATCAGGACTGAAGTAAAGGTCACTAGATGTGGCAATTAAGAGAGCACTGATAATTTTGGAGAGGGCAATTTTGATTGAATTATGAGGTCAGAAGCCCGAAAGTGAGAGAGAGGAGACACTTATTCTAGGTTGCTTTCTCAAGTTGTTTAGCTGAAAAAGGAAGAGAGATATAGGATGATAGCTAGCAGGGATAGTTGGATCAAGTGAGGTTTTAATGATAGAGGAGACATGAACATTTGTAGACAGCACAGAATATAGTAGATACTATATATATATAGGGAGCAATTGAAGGTAAAAGAGTGAAAATGATAAAATTTCTCCATTTGCTGGGGAAATCTGGAGGGACTGTATCAAGGAGATATGGAGAAGGGTCTGCTTTGGCAAGGAGAGTGGCCATCTCATCATCATCTGAGCCTAGAGTGAAGGAAGAGATAATGGAGGAAGATGGCTCAGTGATGTGAGGTAAAGAAGAGGAAAGAGTGAGCTCTCAGTTAAAGATGTTTACTTTTTTCAGTGAAGTAGGTAGGCTAAGTCCTTGGCTAAGAGGATGGGGAAGGGGGTGTGGTGGGAGGCTTTTGGGAAGATAAGAGAGTTTGGAATAGCCACTGTGGAAAGTGAGATATTGAATCAAAGGGTAGAATTGAATGTTTGCCTAACTGTAGGTAAGGATCCAGTTGAGAATTTTTTTAAAGCTTTTACACAGGGATATTTAATGAGAAGATATAGCACGAATAGAAGTATTAACACATCCCCCCAAATTGTGGGGGTACACTCTACCCTAAACACAGAGTCTGGTACAAGGGAGAAGAGTGGGCTCAGATTTAAAGTAGATGAAACTCTTGTCCCATTAAGTTCACTTTCAAATGTGGCATGGGTTAGCAGTGAATGAATTATTACTCTTTCTTGGCCGTCTTGATCCGCTGCCATGCTGGGTCAAGCGAATTCCTTGGGCCTTTTTTATTCCTTATTAGGTTCTGCTATCTCCAAAATCTAATGTGGACTCCTGCTTCCAGACCTTTGGCCACTCATTCCTTTGACCTTTCAAAGTTCACAAGGTCAACACTTAGTCTGATATTCCTTCACGGAAGAGGAAGAAAGGAAAAAAAAACAGGTAAAGAATACAGGCCTGTATTTGTTGGTTACTTGTTGGCCTGAATAGAAGAGCTCGGGGGCCCTCCCCATCCAGAGGCTTACCAAATCTCTTTCTCACTCAAACCAGCCAGATGGGAAAAGAGGGCCCCATTGAGATTAGATAACACAAATTTGTAGTGGGCTCAGTCAGCCAGGTTTTGTGATATCTTCTAGCTCTTTTCAGCAGGATTAAAAGAGATAGATGGTGGGAGCAGTCTTGGGTTGATACTTAGCAAAATTGGATAAGGGATAGGAAAAGGGGGCAAGGGAAACAAGGGTGGAAGCTGAGTTGGTTCACTAAAGGGTCCAGATAGAGAAGAAAGGAGAGTATAGGCAGTTTAGGGGTACAGGGATAATAGCTTGGGAAGGATCTGAGGGCTGGAAGGAATGGTGATCATGGTGAGGATGAAGAACAGGGTCAGTGGTTATAAGACAGGGAAAGATAGAATAATAATAGATTATAATCAGGTAAAGGGATTTTTGAGTTCATGAACATGGAAGTGCAGCATTTGTGGGTCATGGGTGTGACCCTCTCCATGTAGTTGAGGTGAAGTAAAGGAGCAGATCACAGGAACTGAATAAATTGAGGAATTGAGAAGTTAGGGTACTTGGAGTATCAATGTGTATTATATTGATATATACATCAGTATGCATGTTGAAATCTCATATAAGGGCAAGCATTGGAGAGGAGAGAAAGACCGTGAGTCACTACTGAACTCATTGAAGAAGGAAGGAGAAAGTCACAGGGGTCAAGAGATAACAGCCATCTGATCTAGATGGAGTGATAAATTGGGGTAGAATGAACCACAGAGGAGGAGAGATTACTTGGTGAAGGTGGTCAAGGGAGAGTCTGGAAGCAGCAACAAGGAGTAAGGAACATTCCTCACATCGAGTGGAGACAGAGGAGTGATACGAGAAAAAGTGTAGCCATCAATGGAAAGGGTGGTGAGGGAAACTGTCATCAGGAAGGAGCTACATCTCATTGAGCACTAGAAAATGAGAGGGGTGAAAAAGAAGTTTGAGATGAAAGGAAGCTTATTAATTATGGAGCAGGCATTGCAGAGAGCAGAGTGGAAGTGGGGTAGGAAGATCTGGAGTGGCACATTGTGAGGGTAGGGTTGAGGCAGATTGGCATGAGGAAGCAATGAGTAGAGGAAGAACAAGTGTGGTCACTGGAAGTTTAGGATCACAGGAATGGCGTGTTAGTATAAAGGGATGTGAGTGTGCTAACCATTGAGCAGTGAGCTTAGGCAGAGTACCAGTGGTTGTAGAGAAGTTTCTTGAGGGAAACGCAAGATTACAATGTTCAAGGTCCTCCCTTAAGATTCATCCTCCTGGCTGATGGAGATGTTGGATTGTGTAAGACCCAAGGAGCACTGCCTCATAGCAGGCAGGAGCAAGAGAAAGTATGGGAGCCCAGGGAGACCAGGATGCCCTGCTTTCAGGGTGTAGGCCCTGGGGGTGGGGTGGGGCAAGAAATGGAAGAGGTCTTGTTCAAAGTGGGCAGTGCAGTGCTGGAAAATGTCTTGGGGCAGTGACCTGCCCCCCACTTATGATGAAAGATAAAGTCCAGAAACTGGCAAGGCTTCTGGGGGGTCTTCCACCCAGCGTTTGTGTGCTGTTGCTGCTAAAAGCAGCTACAGCTCTGGGCCCAGTGGGAGGATGTCAGCAGTACTCTGGTAGTTGACAAGTGGGAGCCTCAGTGATCCACTCCACAATCCCTGCACCCTTCCCTCTCTGCTGGAGCCAACATTCAGTTCCCACTGAAATTGCTTCAGGACAGGGTTAACAAGTGGCATCTGATTGGCATGGAGTATGCCACCAACATAAGTGCCCTCTGCCTTCGTCTAACAGAAGGTCCTGGCTTTTTCCCCCAGCTATTAGGGTCTTCACAAAGGAATAGAAAGGCATGTGTGGAGACACATGATGTAAGGAGGAGAAAAGAGAAGGGTCAGTATCATATTCCTTCCAGCAAGAGT